CCTCGATCGACCAGGGTTCGAGTGATCCTTCGTATTGCACGACGGAGGGACATCGCCATTTTGGTACTCGTCCTTCCTCGCGACGATCCACGCTACTTATTTAATATAGCACGCGAGTGACTGGCTGAAAATAATCCAGACGAGGATGAAAGGAGACGCGAAGGAAAACGGAGAATTCGCTGGGGGAATTTGCTGGGAAAATTTTCTACCCTTGACCGCAACCATACCTCCGGTTATCGGTCTCGGGAGCGGTGGAAATTTCCTCTCTGGAAGCTGCGTAAAAATTCGTGTACTTTACTGTGACGGGGGGGATAGGAAACGAAAAGCGAAGACAGGTACGCGAACTGTGTATTTTCCCGTTCCGCTGATGCGACGGCGATAAATTAGCGAAAATAAATAATTTCTCGCTATTAGTTGCGTCCATTTAATTTCACTCATTTCGCTCGAGGGTATATCGTACCAATACGATATACGGTTAATTTGATTATTCAAAGATACGAATGAATGGATAATCGCGATATTAATACTAATCGGATTTACTCGTCAAATTTGCATTATGTATTGGAAATTGATTAATTAAAGAACACATGTCTATCGGCGATCGTTACCTTAAATTTCGCAGAGATAGCCGACCATTTGACAGCCATCCGCGCGCGAATCATTACCTCTGTGATCATTAATCGTAATACACGTGGATGACAGCAGGCTCGCGCGGAATCGCGCGTTATTCGCGTTACGAGCGGCGCGTGTACACGGAACCCGCTCGTCTGGAGATGTTATTCGAGACGTTCTTTCATTCGTGGAGAAATCACGGCGAGGATGAACGACGAGCCGTATAATATCCAAGGAGTTCTTGCTCGATTTATCCTTCGCGAAAACATCCTCGAGCTTCCTCGATTTATTTCTTATGAAACTCCGTTCTCGCGATAACGCACAGATCCCAACAATCCTGCTCGATCCTCTGTGTTCGTAGCTTCGCCATTGCTATGGCGTTGCCTCCTCGGTTTGCGCGTTCGCGAGAATTTAAGCTCTATTATAAACATCGATCCATTTATTTTTCAATCCAACGGAATACAGCTTGGCGAGAAAAATAGGGGGTAACGAGAGCGATACTTTTATCCGGAATAACGGTGAATCAGCGTCTTCCTACGTTCAGCTTTATGGACAATGGGTCCACTTTCACTGCTCTGTGAATCCCAACTTCCCAGATTTCCGCGTTATCCTTCAGTGTTATTTAACGTATTTCTAATAGTTCTCCAACAATGTTCTCGGTAAACCATTGTCCGATTCCTCGCTCTCGGATCTAGACTCGGGTCCGAGTCTAACGGCGTGGAGCAGGCGAGCTAGGATCTTCTTAACGACTTGACCGGGCAAACTGACGATCTCCAGGAATCCGTTTTTGAACGGTAAGAGATCGGACAGATTGAACGGACGCTGATTGTTATCAAAACGAAGTCCATAGTTGCTCCACTGTCCCTCTTCTTTGCCCTGGAAGGCCCCAGCGTCGACTTGCTCTCGCGAGTGTTGATCCCTGCCACCATCCCCGCTGAAAAACAAAAGAAAGAAGCTGAACCCACGCGGATCGAGGTTAAGTTTGCCGTTCAGATTGAAAGCTTGCCTGGGGAATCCGGATTCGCGAGTGGCTTGCTCCTCCTTTTTCGTCTCAGCTGCCGATCTTCGATTCAATTTTCGCCACGAAAGTTGCCCGTTGCTCTCGAAAGCTGTGGCGATTGCTCGCGCGAACGCGGTCAAAGGAAGTTCCTCATCCAATGTCGCGTGTTTATCCTTCGGAGAACTGCCAGCTCGCCGATTTTTCAACGAGATTTCCGGCCTGGTCGATCTCTGCAAGAAGTTCCAGAGAGATGTTTCCTGCGGGTCCCTCGTTACGGCGCTCTTCTCGCGAGGAAGATATTTTTGAAACGGAAAGGACGAGCAGGATAATTACTCGGTATTGTCATTCGTACTCACCTGGTCCAAGTTTTCCCGGAAAAACGACGGAAGTTTGTCAGTGGCTGCACGATAGGCCACAGGTTCCTCCTTCGATGTAATTAGTCGACCGTGGTCTGACGAGGTTTCCGGCTTTCGTTTAGGGTACTCGGGATTTTCATCCCGAATCGATCCTTCCTTACAGTTTCCGCTCGAGAACAAGCAGACGCAGTGAAAGGCTAGGAAGAAAAATAACGATATTATCCTCATCGTTGAGGAACGTTTAATTGCCCTGTTTTCGTTCGATCTTTGATCCGTTCTCGGACGAATGCGTGGTTTTATAGCGACATCGTTTGACAGGTGTTTGGGAGGTTTTATTGCGCAAATCGTAAAACATTCTCGGATCTAATCGCGAGTGAACGAACATCGTCTAATTATCGTTTGCACAGCCTGTTACCGTCGAAATTGCGTCTAAAGAGCTGGAATTTTCGATCTAGTTAAACACAGATGGACTTGTCTGGCAAACTGACAGGCATCTCGAGGACGGGCTCATGGTCGTTCTCGGGGAGAACGAATTCACGGTCGGAGATGGATAGTGGTAGGAATAGTACGGTTCGTGGGAAGAAAAACGCTTGGAAAATATTTTCCAGCCGAGTCCGTAGGAATCTCTGTCGAGACGACGAAAGGATTTCCGGAAAATCGGGCATCAGCTATACCTGATCGGCCGAGGTACGCGCGCGTATCGACGACGAGGATATAACTTTGGCAAAAGGGGGTGTCGAAACTTCGTTCAACTATCGTCGTTTTTCATGCAACTTTTCTGCTCCCCTTTCGCGAACACTCGAGCATTCGTAACATTTTCGCGGAAACTTTATCGTTTCGTGATCATAACGCGGCGTGCCTCGGCTCCCTCGAGATGAACCGAAACGATCGCTGAAAACCGTGATTTCGAACGATATTAAAGCGTTCGAAGCAGCGGCCTGGAATAGAGAAAAAATATTCCGCTTTCAATCAACGACCCCTTGTACGAGCGTCATTCTTTCACGATGCCGAGGGAAATTTGGGTTCATCTTTTGGGGTGAACTCGCGCGGTTTCAGACGCTTCGAGCGATTTCCAGACGCTGATGCGGCGCTCGATGCATGCATCGATGTCACTGATGGGTTTAAGTCTAGGTCAGTAGCAAGTTTACAAATGTTGTAATAAATCACGATGACTTAGCGACATATATGAAGAATTGCTTTTCGGTGGATTGACTTAAGATAGTATTGTTGATCTAGGGACCGGTACTAGACTTTTCGTTCGGGACCAGCTCAGACTAGGACTAAAAGGTGCTAACTTTTAATGTTAAATTCTTCGCCATCTTTGGAACTAACGTTTAGGAATTCCTGTTATAGCAATTGGTACAGTATCTCCGAGTTTTATGAACACTTCTCTCGCCGGCAATGGCCTGAACGGAGCGGCACATAAAACCGGCGTGACGTTTAACATATTGATAGAATAAAACAAGACTATAAATAGAATGACATTGGCTGCATATGAAACAAGAGAGATTCGCTAAGAGCACATTTTTCTGATCTTTCTTAAAACTGACTCTTACAACTGACTTTCATATACTGTCTTTCCCAACCGAAACTGATAGACTGCCTTTCCAAACCGTCTTTCTAAACTGTCTTTGCACGCTGTCCTTTCACGCCCTTGCACCCTTACTTTTAACCCTTTACACTCGAGAGGTGACCGTCAGTCAACATTAGATAAAATTTCGAAGATCGATATTAATTAATATGTCAAATTTAAGATAATGTAACGGCGTGGGAGCTATCGAAATTAAAAAATTCTACGTGTTAATTATTATACGATTTCTTATTTATTACTGAAAGAAATATCGCCAGCTTTATAGCAGAAAATCTTTGAACTCCTACTCATCTTTAGCCAAAAGATCGTCGAGTGCAAAGGGTTAATCATTCGTTCTATCCTCTTTTATACTCAGGCTTTCTTTCTCGATCATGCCCTTTCCCACGCAATCTCGGTGGGCCAGGTACTTCAATCACTCTGGACGCATCCCTAATTTGCACTCGACTCTATCGTAAGCATCCTATGCACTCGATTCTCTTACACGTGGTCACTTTTGTTCTAAGTTCAAACACCTTTAACATTCTTTCAGAGCTGTAATTATTCCATTCCTACATATATGTCGAGTTTTACCTATTTCATCCGTCATTTATATTCATCTATCTCCTGCCGTTTGACACAACAACCACGATGATGGTCATGGATGACTGTATCGTTCGAAAGTGGCTTAAACCCGTCGGTGGTACCGATGCCTGCATCGCGAAAGGTATCAGCGTCTGCAGGACTCTTGGCGGACCATCACGTACTTACACGCTGGAGGATCAGCGCCTCATTCAGACGAGCTAATTGTGAACGAACCTTAACACGGGGCGCACCGTGTTGCATTTTAATGCGGCACCGTAGACGTTTCCCGGTTCGAGTTCCGCGATGAAAAGAAGCCAGCACAAAGAGGCTTCTTAGCTAGCAGAAGTCTACTAGAAATAAGAGCCCTCGACTTTCTTTTGCCGTGTGGCAGCGTGTAGCGAAAATCGCTGGAAACTCCATTCGTTTGAAATAGAATAGAATAGAATAGAATAGGATATGATCGAACAATTTCCTACTCGGACGCGATACTATTTTTCCGCTGGTCCTCGCGCGGAATGAAGTTTAGATGGAAATGCAGGAATATTGGACGAGGATCTCGCACGTCTGAGAAGCGTCCCGAGCAAATGGAAGCGCAATCGCTTCCGTGCCGCTCGCGATATTTCGGTCAGCAATTACCACGAGCGGAAATGGAATGGTAGCCATCGTGTGCCGCGGCCGAATGAAGCGCGCAGGCAAATCGATGCTGGCCCAGTAAATTTGATTCGGTCCTCGTTTCGATTTATTAAGAAACTTCTGAATAAATCGCTTAGCGATAAATTGAACGGTTAAATTGCCCTCTTACGGCCAGTCGCGTCGTTATTATATCGGTCGCGATCGAATATCGATGGAACGGGTGATTAAAACCACGTGAAATGTTCGCTCGCATTTATTCTTCTTGATCCATATGGTTACAAAGATAGCAATATTGTGCGCATTCAGCGATTGTTCCGATAATTATTGTCGTTAAACGGTTCTCGCGAGTGTCCATTATACCGATTCCTGCGCCTTCCTGTACTCGTACACGCTGCCGCGTTCCACGAATCCTCGAGGTCTTCTTTCGATCGACGTTGCTTCCTCCCCGGGTGGACCGTAGCCACCGCCTCCAGGTGTCTCCAGGATAAACTTGTCCTAGAGAAAACAGGTTAAAGGCTCGAACGAAAAGGAACGAAACTCGACGATCGTTCGTATTTCCCTGCGCAAAATGAAATTGGAAGCCACGAGACGCGCAAGTTCGGTATTACGGACATAAATAGGGGAACGAGCTTGAGAAGTTGGAAACCAACAGTCGTATTCTATATTTTCCCAGGTCCTCTCGCAGTTCTCCGAGATGTAATCTTGCTTCGTTTCTCCCAATAACAACGCGGGTAATATCGACGCAAATTTTGTAAACTTAGAGCAACGCGGCGAGTGCCGAGTCGCAGACCGTTTCGATCATAGCGGTCGAGATAAAATCTTTTACAGCTCGGCGTAAAACGCGAATAGGTTCGTTGCTGTTTCGCCTCTTCGAAATCAGCGCGATCCGCGGTTTACCTTTTCCGTCGTATCGCGCGATTTTTACAGCGAGGTGTAAATTTTTACGCAACTCGTATATGCGCGAGCAGAATTTCCCGCTGTAACAAAAATTACCGTCCTTACCCCTGTGCGCACTGGCACCGCGGTTTTCGGACCCAGATTGATCCTCCTGCCATCTGCTCTTTGCAACGTGTTCCTTCCTTTCTGGCCCGACTGCCCCCCTGCTAGTCCTGGTGGACTGTGTACCCTCCTCTCCGTCAATACGGACAGCATCATAGGTGCTCTGTAATGGGAACATTCGTAAAGATATATTTTTAAAATTTTAAAAAGAATTGGACAATTAATTACCTGAACGTCATTTCACGAACGACGCCATCACCGCCATGGTGAGCACCAGCTCCCCCACTTCCGGGTCGCAGAGAAAACTTATCGAGAATAACTGGATAACGCAGTTCTAGTATCTCAGGGTCGGTGATCCTTGTATTTGTCATATGCGTGTGTACCCCTCCTCTGCCGTTCCACGTTGGGCCCTTTGCAAGTGATTAGTCGATAAATGAATCTCGTAGTTTCGAGCTAGGGTAGAAATTTCGAGTTCCTTACGGCGCCACTGCCGCCAGCGACAGTTTCGTAATAGCCCCATTCTTCGGTACCCAGTGTCACGTTGTTCATGCAACCTTGGGACGCTGCACAGGCCCCAAAGGCTTGTAGGACTACGTCGACCACGCGTTGCGACGTGAGCACGTTCCCTCCGACCACAGCTGCCTCCTCTGATGGATCCAAAAGAGATCCTTTCGGAATAATTATCTTCACCGGCTTCAAGCAACCCTGGAATTAATACGGAAAGATTGTCTCCTTGCATTTAATTCTGGTGGTGGAAAACAGCAATTAAATTAGTGGTACCTGATTTAAAGGGACATCTCTGCCCACTATACACCTCAAGCAATAAATTAACGCAGACAGAGTGATAGCCCTAGGTGCGTTACAGTTGCCCCACACTTCGTATCCAGTGCCACTGAAATTTTGAATCTTTCTTGAAGCAGGAATTTGAGAAATTACATTGAGATTAAAAGTAACTCTTACGTGAAGTCGCAGACTGCTTCGCCCCTGTCTATGTCAATGTTCAGAAGGAACTTGATAGGGCTTCCATCGTCCAGATAATCCACCGCGGTTGCTACGGTGTTCCTAGTCTCTTTAAGAAGCTTCTTGCCAACGGATTTCAGCATATCTCTCACAGCGACTTCAGCGTTATGCTGAATGTGACCCATGTAAGCTTGCACCACGTCGAGGCCGTATATATCGATCAATTCGTTCACCAACAGTGATCCCTGTGATAAACGTTCGTCAAAAATTACGAATGAAAAATCAAAATTACCATCGTGAGGATTACTTTGTGATTAGCTGCGATCTGAGCCTTAAGATCGCTCAGGTTGTCGGACAGATTTCTGGTTCCGGAACTTCCTGGGATTTTTCCCGGTTCCATCAACGCTTCCGTCAGTTCCTTCTCCCTGAACACGCCTCTGTGTACCAACAGGAAGCTCTTAAAAGTCGCTCCTTCCTGTACAAGAACGTGACTCTTCGCTAATTATCACGGTGCAAGCATTAAACGAAGCTTCAGCTTAAATCTTGCATAAATTTTCGTACCTGGAGCAAGGAAGTCGAATGTGGTGGCATGGAACCTGGCGTGATGCCTCCGATATCCGCGTGGTGTCCTCTGCTGGCCACGAAGAACACAGGTTTCTCCACGTCTCTGATTAAAGACAGACAGTTACAAATTCGATCATTACTCTGAATTAGTATCGTTATTTTCCGATGCGAGAAATGAAATACCTGTAGAAGACAGGAGTGATGACAGTGAGATCGGGAAGATGCGATCCTCCAGCGCAAGGATGGTTCGCGAGGATCACGTCGCCTCTGGAGAACTCGCCCTTGAAGGCTCTCATCTGAAACTGAACGGTCTCCTGCATGGCACCCAGGTGCACAGGTATATGCGGAGCATTGGAAACCAGCCCACCATCCGGCCCGAAAACCGCACAGGAGAAGTCCAGACGCTCCTTGATGTTCGTGGAGATGGCGGTGCGCTGAAGAATCCTTCAAGGCCAAGATGCCAATTTATCAAAGCCTCGAACTTTAGCAGACTCTCTTATATTCATCTTATCCGTCGATCTACCTGCCCATTTGTTCGGCGATACTCATGAAACGATGGGAGAAGATGCTCAATTGAATGGTATCCAATTCGGTCGTGACCTCGGTCCTCAGCCCTTGGCCGATGGTTATCTTCACGTCGCCGCGAGACGTGATCGATGCGGTGCAATCGGGCTCGATCAGAAGGGTACTCAGGCTGTCCATAATAATGGCTGGCCCGTGAATCACGTAGCTAGGTGATAGAGAACGCAATTGGTACACTTTGGTCTCCAGATAGCCGTTCTCGAAATACACCATGGTTGTCTGAACAGAGATCAATGTTTCCGTGTTTAGATTCTGACGGATCGCGTTAATTCCAGCGTGTTCTCCTTTCTGCTTGCCTTTTCTGGTCTCGTCGCTGCGTTGGAGGTTGCTAGAATCGGATCCTCCTCGATGTCTGTCTTCCCCGCGCCCCTTACCCTTATATCGCTTACCAGGATCCTTCGGTTGGGCATAGTGAACCCGAATTCTGTCTGATACCTTGATGAAACGCAATTGTCATTAGGATTTCTTTCCTGCTTCGTTTTCTTTTTGTTTTTACAGCGATACGAATATTGGTTCCAGAAAATTCACCTTTCCAGGAACGTAGTAAGAAAGTCTCCGTGTTTCGGGCCCTCGTTTTCGTTTCGCCTGGGAGTACACATTAAGGCGCAATCTGTTCCTTGGTAGCGCAGGTGTAGGAAGGGTTCTGTTCGTATGTGAGAATCTGGGAATCCTTGGGCAGCTAATCTTCCTCGGACTTTCCTTTCCAAGGCTTCCAGGCGTTCGTCCAAACGCGCGTATGATTCTGAATTTAGAAACGACAGATTTTAGTTACGCTATGTGTCAGGGATGTTTCTATGGAATATACCTCGTTCGTAAATTTCCGCGCTGGGTTCTTGAGCTTCTTCCACGACGTCGGCTAGAGCCATTCCGTAGGCAGACAGAATTCCAGCATATTTATGAACAAACACCGTTCCCATTCCTAAGGAACGCGCAATGGCGCACGCGTGCTGCCCCCCAGCACCTCCGAAACACGCCAGAACATGGCGAGATGTGTCGTAACCTTTTGCCTGGCTCGAGAAAAGAAGAAAAATTATTCAACGAATTGAACCTTCGTAAAATCTTCGTGTAATTCGTTTAATACCTGCGTCAGGGCTCGTATCGGTCGACACATAGTTTCATTGGCCACCCTGACGAACCCCATAGCCACTTCTTCAACGGTCATCTTCCCCCCATGTTCCTGTTTCGTTAAAAATTCGTTTATCTGCAAACAAGAGTTAATCCTTAGACAGAGTACCCATCAATGCATACATAGCGATGATTTATCAGTACACGGTGAATTTCATACTTCGTTTGTCAGTATTCGGAAAGCTTCCATTGTCCGAGACCTGTCCAGGGGTTCGTTCTCGTTCGGGCCGAATATTTTCGGGAAGTATTCCGGCAAAAGTCTTCCCAAAGCAAGATTCGCGTCGGTGACAGCCAGAGGACCGTTCTTCTTGTAGCACGCTGGACCAGGATGGGCTCCAGCGCTCTCAGGCCCGACCTCGAAGAGCCCCGACCTGAAGAAAAGCATCGACCCACCTCCTGCCGCAACTGTGTTCACGTCCAACTTCAACCCAATTCCGGGATGTTTTAGAATGTCTTAAATCGTGTCGATCACCACCGACATCATCGAGTGGGTAAAAAGAGATACCGACAACCTTGCTATTTTCAAATATTCATCGCGCTAACCACTTTACACTCGATTTTTCGCAACGATCGGAATGCTCGTGGCATTTGTTTGGAATACAAAAGGCTTAAAGCGAGTACGATGTGTAAATACCTGTGCAGCTTGAATCGTGACCCCTGCGGTGGTGCTCTCGTAAACGTGCTCATAGCTGCCACCGTAACGACTCACGTCGGTCGACGTACCACCCATGTCGAATCCAATCACCGGTAGATCGGTCTCCTTGCCATAAGTAGTCATCGCGTAACCGACGACCCCGCCTGCAGGGCCAGACAGGATGGCTCGTGACCCATTGAATCTACAAAAGGAGACGCATCGTGACTGTTCGTACCAATTTCCTCCTCGATACCTATTGTGCCGCACTCACGAGTCCATCGGAGTCAATCCGCCGTCGCTCTGCATGAACAGCACGTTCACGCCTTTCAATTTATCTTTGAAGCCAGAGGAGAATCCCTGAAATCCATTTAACAGGCGTTCACATCGAAGGACATCGAAAGATCGGTTCGATCAACACTCGGGAAAATTAGATTCGAGAAAGATACCTGCAAGTATTGCTTAATGTGCGGAGTTAGATACGCATCGGCGCAGGCTGTGAATCCTCTGGGGACTATCCTCGCCATGGGCATAACTTCGTGGGAAAGAGACACTTGCGGGAAGCCAGCGAGCTTTGCCAATTCTCCTACTCTCTTCTCGTGTTCGGCAAATCTGAAGCGAACAAAGGAATATAAATAAAGAGGAATAAAACAAAATCACAGGTCTATCTATCTATGAAGCAACTGACGTGTAACTGTGCGCGAGGACCACGGCTAAGCTATCGATCCCTGATATCCTCGATTCTTCCAGATCTAACTTCAGTTGCTCCTCGTCGAGTTCTCGAGTGACGAAAAGATCCTCGCCCGTAGATCCCTTCGTCCTGCGCCATTTCCTATCGTCCAAATTGCATTTGCCAGGCAAGGCAGGTATCACTCTGCATTTAACTTCGATTACCTTCTCGTACAATACTTCCGGGGTGACTACTTGCTGGAGAAAACAAACGAGATCTTCCTCGATTACTTCGAGTAGCATAGATTCGATACAGTGGCGTATTTAAATACGAACCAAGTCGAATATGTTGGGCCGTGCTTGATTCCCGATGTATAGGAGATCCTTGAAACCCTCGTTGATCAAGAGCGCCATTCTCGCGCCTTTCCTTTCCAACAGAGCGTTCGTGGCCACCGTCGTGCCCATTCGAATCCACGATATCAGCGAGCCATCTATTTCTCCGTCGATTTTCTTCCCGGTTTCCTGAAATCACCTCGTGTCAGGTATAAAACGGGTCTCTTGGACCACATTCGTGGGTACCTGTTCGAGAATTCTGCGAATTCCTTCGCGTGGCGCGTCCTCGTAATTGGCAGGGTCCACGGAGAGCAATTTCATCACTCGAATCTTGCCGCCTGGACATCTGGCGTATACGTCGGTAAACGTACCGCCGCGATCTATAGCGAACTCAAATTTCTCGTGGCCCATTTCACGAATCACCCACTCGCTAGCCACTCGGGCAACGAATTAACTACGATTCCGTTGAGAAAGAACAAGAGATGCTGGTTTCGTTGGATCGTCTACGAGCTTCGAGATGGGTATAATTCGTGCACGGTGACGCCTGATAAGATCCGAAGCTGACAGATTTCGACAATGTATACATAACAGAGTAAATAGGCGTGTAATTGCGCGTGTGTCTCTCGGGACGCTAGGTCGGAGCAATCTTCGTGGACTGAAAGCAATTGGGAGCACAGTGATTGTCGAAGCGATTGTATTTCCCCCTTTTTTCTACTTTTATTTTCGCGATCGCGGTAATCTAGATCAATGATGACAGCTCTCTCTCTCTGTTGGTATGATCGATGACACTTTCTGTTATTGAGGCAACTGGTTTCGCCGAGCATCCTCCGCGGTCGCACACTCGATAGCAGCACTGTCGCGAAAATCAACGCAATAGGCTACTAGTGTTTTTCCATTTCTTCGTTCTGATAACGACCGATTACGTAACGCGATCGCGAGTCAGCGTCTGATCGCGACATTTTCTCGCACCGAGAGTCATAAACGGTTCTCAGTCATCAACGATCGAGGTTAGGTATGATATCATCCCGACTCGTCATCAATTGGGATTATCATTGAATCGTTGCTTTCAACTGGGAAAAAATTGTCAGAGATGATACTTTATTGATTATTTTCGGGGAGCCAATGAATTTTCGAAAATATCAGATTAATCTGTCATTTTTTCTTTCTTTTTTATTTCCAAAAGGAACATGCTTCTTTCTTATCTGATACTGCACATCAGTCTGATAACCATGAGGGTCACTGTACTCCAGCCGAGACTGCGCACCAACGATTTCTGCTTCTATTAGAGACAATACTCCGGGTGGGCGTAAAGTAAGGCACCTCCAGGGGACAAAGTCCAACTCGAATTGGTTTTTCTCAACAAGGGGACAATTTATTAAACTATGACACGGCGTTTCATTTTACACGCGTTACTTTACAGAGTCATAGTAGCTTCATGCTCGATACCTTCACCGGTTCCTTATGAAATAACTTAAAAGTCTTACTCTCTAGGAATCCTATATAACAGATAAAATACGCCTATGCGAATAAAAATTAACAATTCGTAATTTTCGGCACGTGAACTCCCACGAACGTTCTTTTTTTTTCCTTTTTTTCTTTTTTCTTTTAAATATACGTACTAAGGCTATTTCTTACAGTTTTACTATCTCGAATCACTGAGTGGCCATGACGAGGCTCGTAGAATAAAATAGGTGTAAAAATACGTATAAATGTAGCATCTCTTCTAGCTAACTTCACGACGAGACGTTCGCGAAACTTACGTATACTCGTGTAGACAAAAGATAAATCTGTCTAGTAGACTCTTTCTCTCATCAATAAATAGAAATTATACAAAATCGAGATTCTTTATACTTTCATTTTTGTTCTCTAAAGGGTACAGCTCACAGTCGAACCTTCCCCTCGTGAATATTATCGTAAATCTGCTCTGTCAGCTTCACGTAGACGCCAGAGTTATCGAGGAAATAAATCGGGTCCGTGATCTGCGAACAAAATCTCAAAGATAACGCCACGGAATCGTAAAGAAAAGAAATCAAGCAGTTACCTTTTTAATATCGAATCCGTCCTGTTGAAGATTCTTTTTCTTCAACTTGAACGTTCCTAATGGGGCGAAAACTTTCGGTTAATAGTCTAAATGAGTCAGAATAGCAAGTATGTTAATTGCAATTGAGATACTCGCCGGTCATCGGTAGTTCCGATAAAACTCGAACGAAAAGAGGTCTGGCGTACGATGGCAGAGACTTCTTCAAGCCTTCCGCCATTTCTTTGATATTCAGAGTGTTCTCTGGATCGTAAATGGCCGCCATTCCGGCTTTCCCTTCGGCTCCAGGCACCTGATCGTCGCGCAAGATCGTAGATCAAATTTAAAATACCTTTCGCAGAAATTCATCGCATTTTACTAGCCAATTACCTCGACTCCGTACACAGCTGCGTCCTTCAAACCTATCACATTGCTGATCACAGCCTCCACCTCGGAAGTGGCGACATTTTCACCGTGCCACCTGTAACGATATCCAAAAATTAGATACAAGTTCCAAAATATGAAACAAAAATTGAATGGCGATTGAAAAATTTTTACCTGAACGTGTCACCGGTTCTATCCTTGAAGTAGAAGTACCCGAGTTCGTCCATGAGCAAAATATCACCTGAACAAAAGAACATAGCTCACATTGCAATTCAAAAATATATAATTTCAACTTCTACTACCGGAATTGAAAACTCGATCGCCCTTTTTGAATACGTCCCGAAGAATCTTTTGCTCGGACGCTTTCCTGTCAGCGTATCCACAGAAATCGTTCAGTACCCTCTTCGGGTTAATCTTGCCCACGAAAATACCCGACTCTCCTGAGAAGAATAGAGAAAAATTTTGAAAACGCGTGCATTTAATACAATCGTGGATTGGTTCGAATAGCAAGAATGAAAAGCGTTATTAACCAGGTTTGCAGCGAATGCATAGGCCGTCCGATCCTCTCATCGGTTCCCCAGTCTCCTCGTCGACTCTCAATAAAGCCACAGGGTACAAGGAACCGGCGCAGAGTGGTACAAAGCCCACTGCTCCGATCTTGTTATCGATGTTCACTGAAAATAACGGGAAAAAGGAATGATATAAAATCGAAATTGATATTTGACATACAAGGTGTTAAATAAATTACCAAGATTCGAGTTTCCCTCAGTGGCGCCGTAAAATTCGCCGATTTGCTTCACGCCGAACCTCTCGACGAAGGGCTTCCAGATTTGGGGTCTCAGGCCGTTGCCAAACATGAGTCGCACTTTGTGCGTGGTGTCGCAAGGAGCTGGTGGGGCGGTGAGCAAATATCGGCAGATCTCGCCGATGTACTGGGCTACCTATGACCAAAGCATTCTGTTATGCGACGAGCTGCTTGCGTTTATGTCAGCGTGTAGGCGGCAAACGATTTGTACACATTCTTCGTAAATTCCGGGACTTTCGAGCGAATTAAGCTCGCGAGGGATACACGGATTTCGAGTGTCAAATCAGCGTTCGAGCAGGAACGCGATTCAATGGGGTGGTAATGGAGAAATAACTTTACAGTGCATTCGTAATGGACGCAATCCGGCCAGAACTTGGAGGCGCTGAAACGTCTGCGAAGCACGACCGTGATTCCTCGCAGCAATGCTTGACCTACTCCAATTAGTCCCCCAGCCGTGTGATAGAGTGGCAAAGAATTGTAAATGCGATCGGTTGGACGAAGGTTCAGCATGGAGTTCACGCCACACGACATCAGCATGTACCTAAAACGATGATTGATCGTCGATGAGTGCATTCCGATATACCTACTGCATGCGAGAGCAGCAGACCTCGTGACGTGCTCGAGTCGCATTGGACGAAGCAAGTTTAACGAGAAGTTGTTCCTCTGATTCGGTACACCACTATGTAACATCGATCGAAGACGAGGAGATAATGGTCTCATCGACGATCGAGCAATTTTTCTTCCATTCGACTGATAATTGCTCGATCGATTTGAACTTCTAGCAGCAAATGTCACGGGATACGTGCGATCAGTGGATCACTGATCGGAGACAGAGGTAAAGCGTACCTTAAATTCGTGATCACTGCAGCCTTCGGCATCCCGGTGGTGCCGGATGTGTAGATGTAAATCAGCTTGTCTCTGGGAATGCAGTTGATCTCCGAGTTGAGATCGATCGCTCCTTCCAGGCGCTGAGTGTCGGGCAGTTCGGACCACTGATACAAACCCACATTCGGGATTTTCTCCCTGATTTCGCTAATCGCTGAGGAGAAAATTGCATCGGGTTCGTTATTTAATCGAACTGTCTCGTGTGATGTATTAACTCTTTGCATAGAAATTTTATCGCGTTTTAAATGAAACAAAATTTGTATAGAACTAATTTTGATAAAAATATAAAAGACGAAATATAAACTTATGCGCATGCAGCTATTACAATATCTCGAGGTGGGACTAAAAATGTCCTATCGTGCATTTCGGTGCATCAAACAGGTGGGACACTTTTAATCCCAACGTGCCCCAAAGAGTTAACACTAGGTTTATGGACGCTATCTGTATACCTGTTTCTAAGGCCACCTGTCAAATTGACAGGTAAAGGAAACCACGTGCCTATTTTTAACGATTAGTTTAATTTAAAAACAATTATATATTATATCAACAGTCTTAATATAAGTTAACTAAATCTGTTGCCATCGTGTAATTGGAGCGACCCTTCTGTCAAATTGACGGGTTCCGTAAATCTAGTGTTATTGAAATGCAAATTAATTTGAATCGTTAAATCGGCGTGTAATTACATATTTACTCTATGATATTCCAAGAAAGTACTATTTTTTCTCTCCAAAATTAGAATCGCTTCCAAGACCTATGTCGTATTTAGAATTATACGCGACGTACGTTTATTCGAGGTATACCAATGAATTTCGAAATGTCTATCCGCGATTAAGGACACCTCGGTGATCTTACCCTCTTTAAAATTCGATCCGAATATAACAGCCTTGCAATTAGCAGCTTTGATACTGTGCACGAGCACATCCTGTCGAAGGTTCGTGTTCAGAAGCGCACCAACTAAACCCGCTTTGCTGAGACCCAGCCAGATCCCTACGTATTCGGGTCGACTTTCCAATATCAGGCCAACGCTGTCCTCCCGAGACAAGGATTTTCCACCGAAATAACGTCCCAGTCTATTGCTGTACTCCTCCAGCTGCGTAGCGAATCAGGGCATTACACGTTGCTTTCCGGGCTGCAATTATTTCACCTTACCTCCCGATAAGACCACTCCTTGTCCTCGAAGATAAAAGCAATTTTGTCGGGATTAGCAATGGCGTGCCTCGTGAACAGCTTCGCCACGGTGAATTTTCGCCACTCCCACCACCATAGCAGCACGTTCACTCGAACGAACCTGTATGCGCCCCTGTTACGGGAGCAGAGAAATCGTTCAGGGTAACTTCACGCGACTCCTCGTAGTTGCTACGAAATTTCTCGCATCTCTCGTCATCCGTCCGTCATCTTGCCTAACGAGGTTGCAGAGACAACGAAGCAATCGAGAATGGGATTTGATCGATCGAGGAACGGATATTCCGATTATTCGCGAGAAAGCAGGGAAAAGTGCAACGATCGCGAGGTTTGCTCTGTCGCGTCGGTTAATATTATCGTAGGATCGCCTTTTTCCCCGCGAGTTCGTCGTTAAATCATCGCGATAGATAAGGCACTCGAGAAATAACGCGTTTATCCGATGGGAAAGAGGTTAGTCGAGTGAAGGGATCGAGTGAAACGATTAGAAACGAATTAGGGTACAGGCGATGGGTACGGCGTTTTCTGACTCGATGACACTCGTCTCCGTCGCTCATCCTCGCGTTCCTCCCTGCCTCTACCCGTCCTCCTCTCGCAGTATCAATTGAGTAATTCCGCGGCTCACACGCGCGTCACATGTGTCCACGTGAACGCGACCTTTCCTTCGTTCTTTTCCGACACCTGGCCAATTAGGGTTCCGTCAAAGCGGGACCGTGGAACCCCGAGAGTCGAGACAATTTTGATGCGACACTAGTTTGAACCCTACGAGTCTCTATTCTAGGACATACTGCAAACACTTGCGTGGATTTTCCCTTTTCCAAAGTCTCTGATTTTAAAGGACCTTCCTAGAGTCTGTCAATCTAGATTGAGAACCGAGACCAAAGAGTTAAGTCACGTCTGTTTAACCATAAGTCATATATGTACACATACTGTTTTACACCAATCGCTATCGCTGCTCACGTAATTCCACGCTGTTTAAATAACGTGCATTATAGAGAAAAACATACCTAAACCTGCTCGATTAGAGTTTCGTCAAAGTGGGACCGTGGTACCCGAGAGTCGAGACAATTTTGATGCGACACTAGTTTGAACCCTACGAGTCTCTATTCTAGGACATACTGCAAACACTTGCGTGGATTTTCCCTTTTCCAAAGTCTCTGATTTTAAAGAACCTTCCTAGAGTCTGTCAATGTAGATTGAGAACCGAGACCAAAGAGTTAAGTCACGTCTGTTTAACCATAAGTCATATATGTACACATACTGTTTTATACCAATTGTTATCGCTGCTCACGTAATTCCACGCTGTTTAAATAACGTGCATTCTAGAGTAAAACATATCTAGACCTGCCCAATTAGAGTTTCGTCAAGGCGGGACTGTTGAATCCGAGACGAGAAAATTTTTTTGAAATTACTTACGAGATTCTAGCTTGAACTATTCGAGTCTCTATTCTAGGACATTCTGGAAGCCCTTGCGTGGGTTTCCCCTTTCCCAGAGTGAGTAGCTTTACAGAATCTTCCTAGAGTCTGTCAATCTAGACCAAGAACCGAAACGAAAGAGTTGAGCCACGTCCGTTTATAATCATAAGCCATATATGTACATATTGTTTTATACCAATCGCTATCGCTGCTCACGTGATTGCACGTTGATTAAATATCGTGCATTCTTGAATAAAACGTATCTAAACCTGCCCAATTAGGGTTCCGTCAAAGCGAGACCATGGAACCCAAGAGTCGAGAAAATTTTGATGCGACACTAGTTTGAACCCTTCGAGTCTCTATTCTAGGACATTCTGGAAACCCTTGCGTGGGTTTTACCTTTTCCAAAGTCTCTAATTTTACAGGACCTTCCTAGGGTCTGTCCATCTAGACCCAAAACCGAGACCAAAGAATTAAATCACGCCTGTTTAACCATAAATCATATATGTACACACGCTGTTTTATACCAATCGCTATCGCTGCTCACGTGATTGCACGTTGGTTAAGTATCGTGCATTCTTGAATAAAACGTATCTAAACCTGCCCAATTAGGGTTTTGTCAAAGAGGGACCGTGGAACCCCGAGAGTCGAGAAAATTTTGATGCGACACTAGTTTGAACCCTTCGAGTCTCTATTCTAGGACATTCTGGAAACCCTTGCGTGGGTTTTACCTTTTCCAAAGTCTCTAATTTTACAGGACCTTCCTAGGGTCTGTCAATCTAGACCCAAAACCGAGACCAAAGAATTAAGTCACGCCTATTTAACCACAAATCATATATGTACACACGCTGTTTTATACCAATCGCTATCGCTGCTCACGTGATTGCACGCTGTTTAAGTATCGTGCATTCTTGAATAAAACGTATGGAGAATATAAAGCGTCCTACCCAACGTCTTCCCCGTGAGATTTATACGCGTTCGAAATATCTCTGCCGAACTCCGAACAACGAATGTGCGAATTTGGAAAAGAAAATTCGAGTTTACGGATTATCCGTATTTTGCTAATTCGAGTTTGATCAGTCGCGAAACGATAAGTCTGTCCGAAAAGGAAGCTCGAGCACTGCCCGGAAGATCACGCCTCTGTCGGAGCTCTCGTATCGCGGTGAGCATACGACACCAGTGGTCAGCCCCTCGCAACGCTTCCACGGTGATTAAATGAAACGAAATAAAATAACGAAGCGAGCCGTGCCGGCATCGGGATAACCCTCGCGGTGCATCACTCGCGGTTTCGTTGCCATGCGTTAATCCCACGGCCGGTTTGCACCTCCAGCCTGCCGGCAGCCTCTATCTCTAGCTGAACTCCCGAGCACTCCGGGCTCACCTTTCTCCCCGTTCGTATCTGTGTTTGCGCAGATATTGCGCAGCTATCGGCAAGAAGACGACGAAGTTGCGGGAAAATAAAGTTTCCACGGACGGAAACGCTTGGCTCGCGACGCCATTTTTATCGCGAGTCGTTCCATCGACGAATTTAGATTTCCATTGCGCTGGCAACTTTCGACCGGCTTAGACTTTGCACCGAGCATCGTGTTTGTTTACTCGCGACAGCTTCGAGATTATTGACTCGAGATTGCCCAAGCTGGCTCCGATCTATCGAGAGGACTACGAAATACTCGCATTTATCATATTTTCATTCGTATTTATTATAGAGAATAGAAACCGGTTGCATCTGGACAGCTCGGTAAATAATTTCGCAAGATCGTATCGGTGAAGCAGGGAAAGGAGAAGGAAAATAAATTGTTGTCTCGTAGGAAACTGCACCGAGCAGAGGAGTCCGGCGCAGGGCAAATGAGACGGTCGCTGTTCGAGTCGCGATAGACCAGCGCTTAATGGAATGTAAACGCTGGCATCCAGCACTCGTTGGCGGACAAGGCCGTGCAGCTCGGCCTGTTTATCTTTCACCGAGAGAATTTTGCAAATGACGTTGGCGCGATAACGCGTGTTCCGAGGGCCCCTGAACGCGAATAACTGCAGCTTTGACAACCTGTTGCGATCTCGCCGACGCGAGTCGTCGCGGTACCCGCGTGTCCCGCCTTCGATTTCCACCGATTCTAGCCGCGGAACGAGCAGATCAAGCCAATTGTCGCGTAAACGACCGTGCGAATGGATCTTTCCCGTAATTGCCGCGGCCAGCCAGTTACCAGCGATCGTGTTCTCGCGTTATTGGACTTTAGTTCCATCTAAACGATGCTCGTCGGACGGCGCAGCAGGGATGGTGGGAAGAATTATCGCTGGAGGAATTTCAGTAACTTTTATTTCCAAAATTCTCAACTGGACATCGAGATACAAGGATGCACTGCGTAATTTCACGGTATAACGGTTATCACGGTAGCGTGGACTCTTCAGCTGCAATCTCTCGAATGGGACGTCGATAATTAGTACTTAATTAGCACGTTGCTAATCCTACGCTCGAAGACGGATATTCATCCGTGGAATTAAATTCTTTCTCGAAATATCTCGTTCCCGGGTATCGATCAAACGCATCACGCCCTACGGCACAGTTCCTGGCAGTTACGTAATCTCGCAACGGAATATAGGACGCACTGGACGATCTTCCCATTTTGTCCATGACCCGAATCTACCCTAGTCCCCCGAATCCCGTGATCGCAGAGGCGGTTTACCCCGCTGGAACTCGAGCAAACAGCTACACCCCGTTGTACACCGATCGATCACAGCCACGACCACGTAAAACGATCGTACACCGAGAAAAAGGAAGGTGGCAGAAGGTAGCCAGGATGGATGCAGTCGGAACCAGTTTCTTCGAGTCTCGAAACTCGATGCATTTGCGCTGTGGACCACCGAGCCACTGATCGCGGCTTCGAAACAACGTTATTCAGCCGGCTGTTTAAATTTCATACGCTCCATATTGGCCCTACAATGGCCGTTCACGGCGGCACAATGCGCGGGATGCATCCGCCGACGAACGTGTGCACAACTACGCGCATGCACGAAGAATGCTCTCGGCCGTGCCGGTGAATCAACGGCCGGTTCTCGCGATGGAAATCAATGCCGAATGGCCGGGCCTTGCACGGCCCGTTTCATCGTGCATCTCGTTTCGACGTGTCCGCGAAGGAAAGGCTGGATTTTCCCTCCGCCTCGATTGATCCCCGGGTTCCTCGATACTCGCCAAGTTGATCGTCCGACCAACCAGCGCGATCACGCGCGAGCGCGTGGATTCGTTCGGATACGGGACCTTTGATCGCGTTCAATAGTATCGTAAAATTTCTTAAGTGATCTAATTGTAAAGGATGAGTTAGGAGAAAGAACTGACAGCGTGTCGCAGCCGGCTACGTATAGTTCGGAGTCCGTTCGTCTATTCAGATTCGTTTTAAACGAATGACGGGGATCAGACTGGTTTGTCTAAGAATTTTATACTCTCGCGAGTAAATAAACTATCTCTATCAATTTCTTTCCCCTTCCTTCCCCTAATTTTCCATCTTTCTTAAGTCCTCGAATAGAGAGAGGGAGAGAGAGAGAGAGAGAGAGAGAGAGAGAGAGAGAGAGAGAGAGAGAGGGAGAGAGAGAGTGGGAGAAAGCGACGACAGGGGATACGCGGGATTCGATAGATTCTACGAACGGACGTGGAATAATTATTTCGTCTGTCGTGACGTGCTTCCTCCGTCTCGCGATCGCGTGGACCTTGATTATCAACACGAGCACGTGGTGTTGTCGTAATATCGCCAAACGTCAAACTCGATCTCGAGGGGTCATTTACGGAACAACGTTTCTGTCAACACCGCTGTTATTCAAATTAACACGTGTAACCGGTTTGGCTGAAGTGTCGGCATAGAGCGTGAAACGGTCGGTGAAAGGGAACAATTATACCGTGGAGTGGTCTGCCAACGAAGACTCGGGCGTTGGTGACGGGAAAGAATCCAGCTTTTTTCAAATACTCACAGCACGTCCCGCGGCAAAGTCTTGCAGAGCAAGTAAATGAAGCGGCGTCGATTGCCCGTGAGCAGGTAGGCGCCGATAAAAACGGACAAGGCCGCGATCGCCACCTCGTGCACTCCCATGACTGCTCACAGCGTGAGGAACGCGCCTTGGATCGGTCGGCCCGCGTCGATCGCGATGGATCGCGTTGGAAAACGCGGAGAACGTAAGAAAACGCGAGGTAAATCAGGCTCGTGTCAATCGACGAGTACACTCGACGCGTGCAGGTGCCCGATACCGCGATCGAACGACGACTAAACGGTTGCTGTCCGATCGGGTATACGGAGCGGCTGTGTCCGCCGATGTGTGTACACTCGTACTCGTTTCGTTCTCGCGAAACGTGCGAGTGTTCGTCATTGATAGCCGGTGACGTAAAATGTGGAGGGAGTCGTTCTGTGTTCCGCGACTGCGTTCGCGTGTGCGAGGAACTTCTGCGCCAGTTCGCGAAAGGGCACGCGAATCGCCGTTCCTTCTCTCTTTTCTACCAATTTTCATCGTCTCGCCATCCTCCTCGCGATTGTTCGGCAAGGTAACGCGATACGCGATCACCGGGTATTACCGCGAATAGATTCGCGATCGATTTTAACGGGGACAGCGAGCGGAAGAAGGCAACGGGAGCGAATTCGATGGAATTACGGTAGACTCGGTGTTCAATTTTCTAATGAATTAATCGAGTAAAAGCGGACGAGCGCGAATGGAAAGTCCCGGAGTTCCGTATCGATGCACGTACAGAGCGCAGAAAATATCTCGTGAGAATCCCGTTTCCGCGAGAGCACGTCGAACAGTGGAACAGTCGAAGGTTCCGAAGGCATCATGGACGCGGATCGATTAAAAATAACAATGTATGTATTTATATAAACTTATGATAATAATACACGTATAGAATCCATGAAAGACAGGTACAAATATAAACGTACGCTCGTAAACGGTAGTGTTCAGTCTGGTGGGTGCCTCGGTTATGAATATTTCACGGCGATGGATACTGAAAAATAAAACGCCAGTGATGCGTACACGTTCCACCGTGAACCAATTATCAAAGCGAAATGAAACGCGTGTATATTCGAAGGAGCAATGGACAGTGTCAGAAATGCAAGAGAGAACGCGTGTTTGAATTTGTTCAGCTTGGTTATCGATGCGATCAATTTCGTAGCAACCGCGTAAGGCAACCTACCTAGCCGTCAAAATGGGCAAAAACAAGCTACAGCGGAGGCGCGTGATTAGATTACAGGTGGAAAACAGTGATGAATACCTGGAATCGAACGATCGAGGCTCGCTACACCGTGTTCGCTATCTGAGAACCAGGTAAAGCACCATGATGTCCAGAACTGAAAACGATACGCGATCTGACTACGTGAACTGTGTTGAAAACGATTTCTTTATATGCCAGCCAATGATTTAGCACGAAGAGCACAATTTGAAGGAATGAGAGGTAATGCGGTGCACGATGTTCACGATAGATGAACACAGACGTTCGACGTGTAAATTAGAAATGCGCAATCGCATTTGAAAGCACCGTGTCTCGAAAAAGGGGAATCATTCTCCTCGAAAAGGGGAGAAAAATTGCCTTCTCTCGAACAGAGAGTATCGATATTTTCTACGATTTTGTACCACCAACGATTGAGCATTTCCGCTTTAACTGTGAAATGCAATGAAGAAAACAACATGCGCTTATCATGCACTCTTCGATGAGAATGTGAGCCATACCGATGATACAGATGACGACGGTCACTGTAATAGTAACGAGGATAATCCTTGTTTTGAAGTTCTGCAGCCATGCTCTTTGCTGAGCTTTCTTCGCGGTTGCCCTAAATTCGCTTCCAGCCATGGTCAGTCGATCGCTAGCTTCTTGAAGATCCTCCAGCCTCTCCCCGCGTTCCATTACCTTCTGCACGTTCTCCCTCATCACCTCCGTCACTTCTTGAATTTGCAATCTGACGCTAAAACCGAAAAAGAAGCGTCAACCATACGATCCTCGAGGGTTTCGCAAGCGATTACTCTTTATCGTTTCTAAAGCGATTATCCGGTAGCAAAGTTCGCGTGGACGAACGTTACGAAAGCAAACCGAGATCTACTTACGGAAATGGAAGATACCCTTACCTATCCATCTTGCCATCCGTCTTGGTATCGGTTGACGAGGTACTCGGTCGACTAGAATAAAAACATTGCCGATTATTTCACGCGAAAACGGTCACATCGATGGTAGAAAATGATAATTCGATCGTCTCGACTCACTTGAATAACATATTTTCATCCTGATCGCTGTCGTGCTCCAACAGCAGCTCCTGAAACGATAACGCATTTGAATTTCCCGCCGTGCCGCGGCTACGTCACCGAGCTGTCGCAGCTATAGCAGCCAGCTTGTCGAAGACCACTCACCTTTTCGTCCTTCGCTGCAGTTTTTATGTCCTCCTGGGACAAATCCCATTTGCTAGTCGTAGACATGTTCAGGATCGGTTATTTTCCAGCCGCGTTTTGTTACACAGATCGTTACACCCGCCGCGCCACGGGTAATACTTTCGAGCGTGCTTCGATACGCTACAAGAACACACGACACGTAGCCATATTGCTGGGATACAGGCCGTCTCGTTCTATTGGGAACGGGAGGTGGATCTAGTGTGACCGTCTCTACGCCAGATGGCGCTGCCGGCGCATCCGGAACAACGTGCACGTGGAATCAACTAGATCTCCCGCGGTGCACGTGAATTCTTTAACTCTTTTATCGAAAAGAAACGTCTATTCTTAGACGAAAAGACTTTTTTGGAGGAATATTACGTTCGGAATTACATTCCCTCGTTTTCCCTGGTATATTTCCATCCTGGAAAGTTTCACAGCGTTCTTTTTATCTGTTACGAAAGGATAGGGAGAATTAGGCGATCGATAGCACGATTCGTGTATATTGCTTTTATTTCGACATAGACACCTAGGATCTAAGATCTACCACAGATATAGAATACATCACGATAGATAACAAAATATGTTGATTGTCGTGTAAACGTGCAGGGACTTTTCGTGAAACGACTCTCGGTACGGTTTCGGACAAGGGTCGTCGTGAATCCTGTTAAACGATATCCCATTACAGGTAGACCGTAAAAGCTTCGTTCGCTTTCTCCAAGGATTAAGAGTCTTTTTGTTCTTTTCTCTTTTTTCAAAGGAAAAAACGAAGGGAAATTCGGTTCGTTCCCTGCACGAGTTTCTCTCATGCGTAGCATCGTTCTTACAGAGTAGAAAAACGTCGATCGCGTGGATGACAGATCGCAATGAAACATGTCGGACGAGATTGCGCATATAAAAATAGACCAGCCTTTCTGGGGTATCCGTGACTGTGAGGTATCCACGATTTCGTAGGACGATTAACAAGATTCGTAACGGGGCGTCGAGTTCCATCGACGTTACACGAACGATGCTCGAGAAAATATAGCCGTTTGAATTTCGCAATGCTCTTTCTCCTTTTTGCGAAACGATGTGACTCGATAGGAAGGGGCAGAGCGTGACAGCGATGGCGCGCGAATGTCTAACGATTAAATGCGAATGATCGATTAGTTTTGCTACACAGAAGCCGCTGGTCGATATGCGAAGCGATTATTTCGGTTACAAATACTCGCAACGTCGCGACGTCGCTGAAACGATCGGCTGTTATCGGTAACCAGCTGGCCTTGGCGGAAACAGAAGTACACTAATAACGATAACACGATAAGTTACATGCACATGTACCGACGGAGAGACCGTTCTCCATCCGTCTTGTACGTTCTTAGGCCGTCCCTACTCGATTTAATTTCCTTTTTCCCCCTATTTTCGCTCGCCTCGACAACCCTGTCTGTCGATACTTGGCCCAAAGCTTCGTTCCGCGGGAGTGCGACGAAACGGAAATCGAACTCGCGTCTTCTCTGTCTGTGGAAGACAAATTAAAACGTATTACGAGCGAATCTCCCGCTAAATTTACCCTTGATCGGAGACGCTATTTTAGCTGCTATTTTAGCCGCGAAAAGCGACGCGAGTCCCCGCGTCGAGACCTCCGAAATGATCTAGAACTTCCGTAGAACATCTTATTCCATACATATACATATATATAATGGCTTAACTATTAACGTTGCGTTATATTTATACGCGATGTCGTATAGAAGCATTGGGACGTCCAGCGTCGCTCGTGGTGGACGAAACCAGCGTCCAGCGAGTGGAACTGTGAGCTCCGATCCGATTTGGCTCGATCCTCGAAGCGAGATTTCGTGTTTGCCGGCAGGCAGCTGGCCGTCAATGACGAGAAACGTCGTCGCTCGAGTTCTACCCAGGTGTTCGGTTAATTTCAGTAATTAAACCCGTCCGCGAGGTTTTCTGCTCTTTGGCAAGCGCGACCGCTCCGAGAACCGAGCCAGAGCAGCGAATCGGTGCCGGTTCCAGGGCTAACTTTCGCCTTGACACGAATCGATTCGTTTCGGAAGTAAACAGTGATCGGCCGTTTTTATCTCGATTAATGGCAGCCGTTTAATTGAGGCTGTTATATCGCGTTGCCGCAATTATCGGGAAACTCTCTCTCTCTCTGCATTTCTGCACGTGTGCACGCGTTACACGTGGAACGTAGATAACTAGATACACAGGTAGACAGACAGATAGATAGACGGGGAGAGGGAGAGAGACACCGTGTTGGCTTTTCGTCACGAGGCAGTCCGATATAGAGCGATTTACGTAAAGCCACCGACGCGGTTCTTTTTTAAAATTCGCATTTGCATACGGACATGGCACGCGTGGCACTGGCAAACGGAGTAATCGAGATCGGCGTTCTCGAACGGAAGGATCTCGGCAACAGAACGAGATAAACCTTCGAGTTCTTTCGACACCTTCCACCATAAAGCTGCCTATTTTCACTCTATGTGTAAACGAGCACGTGTACGACACTCGCAGTTGCAGCACGAGAGGTAAAAGACACGTGTCAGCCATTAGATGCTAATAAATAATCAAACACGAAGTGGCTGCCAAATTTACTCGTGCCGGAGTCCCACGATGAATTCTTCGGCCATCCGTCTTCCGTTCCGATCTCGAGGCCCGGCGTCCAATGGCGGCAGCTCGATTTTTCACGCTATTACGCGTTATTCGGCAATCGCAGCCGTGATAAGCGAGAATTTCGTTAACTTATCTGTAGCCTCGGCTGCGAGATAATCGACCGGAATTACAGAGTCCACGGTTCGAAGTAGCCAAAGCGATCGAACACGTCTGTGCGCTCGGCAAAGCGGAAGAAACGAGCATCCGAAGAATCGAGGAGCAAATTGTTCTTCGCGTTGCAATCAATTTTCGATTTCGTTCCTCGATTGCGAGCCGCCTATCCCGCTTGACAGGCGAGCGAGAGGCAGAGCAAATATTATTCGAGGGTGAAGAGGGCACGACTGGAAGGGTGAAAGTCTCCTTGTTTGCACGCCTTTCTAGGACACGGTACGCGTAGGCCTGAATTCGTTATCGGACTAAAAACCTGGCGAAAAATCGATATCCGCGGAAACGTCGCGCCTCGGTGCACCGTTCAATCACGGTCTGCTATCCCTCGTTTCGCTCGTCCCTGCGACAGGCTGGGAGTAACGCTTTCCCGTCGTGCTCCGTTCCTCGATGCTAATGTATACCATTACCTTCCACCATTTTCATCCGATCGGAAAATTCTGCTAATCGAAAATTGCCATCGCTACGGACCAACTTTTCCATCGTCGGAATTCCCAATTTAGTGAATTCCCAACGAATTCCTAAAGAATTCCCAACGAATTCCCAACGATTTTTACCCCCTTTAACCAATTTTCCTCGCAAATTAAATGAAGCAAAACGAGGATTTATTTGCTAAAATTTAGTCCAAGTTTTCGCAGAGATTGACGCGTTTTACCTTTAAATTCGCGTGACACGTCGAGAATATCGAACGTCAGCGATCGATGATCGCGATATCCCCTTACAGCACGTGCAGGTTCTCGCAGCTCTTGCTCTTGCTGTCGTTCAAGCACATCTTGTGCAGTATCTCCCTGGCGAGATTCAAGCTGAGCGCTGTCTTGCTGCCGTGCAGCTTTGACAGAATCTTCCTCTTGCTACCCTGGCGTTTCAGCTTCTTGTCACGGCTCTCGCGAAGCCGGATCTGCTTCAGCACGCCCACCAGAAGCTCGTCCACGTTGTGCTGGATGCCGCTCGACGTCTCGATGAACTTGCACTCCCGCAACGTCGCCAGTTGTTTGCCCTCTTTGAAACAATACCAATCATTCGATACCGTCATCGCGATTCTACCCTTTTTTTTGGCAAGCTTTACCGAATTTCCCGCGTCGAGAGCTTCGAATTCTCCGAACTCGCTTTAACGCTAAACGTACCGAGCGGAGTCAAAGGACTCCTTTCAAAATTTACTTTATAGATCGTACATTCATTGTTACAATATTTTCTTCGCTCATCTGACTTTCTGTAAATTATCATATTATCCGATTATCTAATTTCTCGCTTTCCGTATTTTTCTTAACTTATTTTGTACCGAGACAAATTTTCTGCATATCTTATATACCACGAGGTGTTGGTTATTTCACCCCTTATGGTAGGAATAGCTGTGTGTAAAATATCGGTACGTTTAGTGTTAACACATTGCATACCGTCCGCGAGTTTTCTCGTTTTTCACGCGCCATCTGTTATGGGCCTTAGATGTCAGCGCACTGTCTTATCAAAGTATGCGGCTGCTGGCGAATGTCTTAGAAATTTCTATGCGGTACGCAATGTGTTAACACGTTAAACGCCACGTCGGTTTTACCTGCCGTTCCGTTTACGCTACAGTTAACCGTCATGCGGGCCCTTTTGGGCCATATGGACCGGCGAGGCTTGAACGGAAAATCTAGCGCCAGTCCCTAGGGACCGACGTGGCGTTTAACGTGTTAATCCTTTGCAGACGAAAACAACTGATAGAGCAAGGGATTCATAAATGTGTCTCACGTAAACGCGTTACTATGGCCCAGAAACACGTATGTGCGTCCGCTGTTGCGGCCCTAGGACCGCACGTCGCAAGTTAAGTGCATTGACTGTTTTATATCGTTACCAACGTTGCTATGAACAAAAATCGCGTTTAACTCTTTGCGAATTGACTGGCACTGAGTAAATCGTACCGTAAGGCCCAGCCATTGTCGCCATAGTCATTCAAAACTACCAAGCTCATTTCTACTTGTTAAACGCGATTTTCGTTCATAACGACGCTGACAATGAGAACACGAAACAGTCCTCCACTTAACTTGGGACGCGAGGGTCCTAGGACCGCAACAGCGGCCGCATATTTGCGTTTCGTGGATTATGTTTACGTGGAACAGAACTCTGACGCGCTTTCGAAGCTCGCAGAAATTTTAAGCTTCCGGTGAACTCGGAGCTTCGCCTGCCGTGAAAAGGGAGGAAAAATCGCGCTATTGTTTAAACCGTTGCATCGCTCGAAATACGCGATTACCGACAGAATTTTTGCTTTTCCAGCGTAATACGCCCACTGCTCTTTCCCGGAGCTTCTAAAAATCGCGACAAGCAACGGATGCACGCGGTGCATGAAGATAGGAAATTGGAAAAAGGGACAAAAACTCTGCTACTGAAAAACTGTTAATAGGTTTTCTCTTTCAGGATATGAGATTTTAATATTCGAGTATCTATAACGGATGGAGATTCATCGACAGATTCTTCCTTCGCGATTTTACCATTATTCCTGGCAATTTACCCGAATTTACCCGACGAATGGAAACTTACCATTTGCCGTGACCGTTCGACTTCTCGCGAGGTCCGACTTGTTACCGACCACGATCACGGATCGTTCCTGCGTGTGATGTTCCCGCCACAGATAGTTCAGCATCTCCTCCGCGACTTGGAAGCTCGTGCGGGATACGATGGAGTACACCACGATGCAGGCGTGTGGCTCGTAGGTGGACAAAGAATTCTCCACCTACGCAGAACACGTGCAAACAATCGTGCTAATACTTCGGGTCCTTCGTCGGCTAGATACACTCGTTTGATTAAACAGCTTTTCTTCGTTATTTCGTTTGCTCGAAAATCAAGTATTAGATGTATATATAGAATGGATCACTATATGTTGTCAACATATATATTCGCGTCATTGTTATTACACGTGACGAAAAATAATTTCGGAGAAAGTTGATTGGTTTCGAGTTAGTACGTTTTACTAGTTTCGTTGTGGGTGGACGAGTAGAGGACGTATGAACCTCGACCTATCCAACAATTTGGGACGATTCGATTCGAATCGTTGCAACATTAATATAGGTGTCATGATTTTCTAACTACGTTAAAATTATAACGTTGAAAATAAGATATTTACAAAAATCAATCTCTTGGGAGAAATAGATAAGAATTAGGGGATCAGGGCAAGCTGCAATTGCACACCCTCTTTTATCCCTCTAGTTTTGTCTCTCCCTGTGTGAATTAGAATATGGAAGATATACCTTCTTAAGAATAGAATGAAGATAATTATAAAGAACGATAGTTATTTCTTTTTGCCCATAATCTCAATACAAATAAAGTATTACCATATTATACAACTGTATGAACACAGTTCTGTTAGGCTTTTAATACTCCCAAATTTCCCGTGATATATTTTGTTGAAAATAAGATACGTCTTGACGTATTTGCAAAAATCAATCCCTTAAGAGAAATAAATATGTCTTTGAACTATGCGTCGAAGAGGTTCCGGGAATTATAAGAATTATGGGACCGGGACGAGCTGCAATTGCATACCCTTTTTCATTCCCCTAGTTTTGTCTCTCTCTACCTACAATTAGAATACGGAAGATATATCTTAATTCTTAAGAATAGAATAAAGATAATTATAAAGAACGATTGCTATTTCTTCTTATCCATAATCGCAATATATAATATCCCCTGATTTAATAATTTTTTAAAATAAATGAGTTAGTACATTTCTGTATAGAATATCAAGGTGCATCTACTGATGCGATAAAAATTATACGATTCTGTTTGAAAAAATGATAAAGATCATCACGTATCCACCTACACTCGTCCACCTACAAGAGAAATAATATCATCGAAATATGCCACTCGAAATATTTTTCGCTACGCGTAGTGACAACCACGTGAATCTAGATGGCAATAATTGGTGGTCCGCCCTGTATATTAACGTTTTCTTTAGAACTGCGTGGATCTGCCACGAACATCGAATCGAAATGTCAAAGGACCAGCTGTTTCCCCTAATTAACGTTCGAGGTTAATCGAAATATCTTCGTCTATTTAGAATTAAATTCCCTACTTTCATTCAGCTTTCGCTCCCGTGCCGAGCATATTCCGCCCATGCTTGACCTCGATCGCGACCGAAATTTTTACTTTTTCCCAACGGCGTTCCGCGTGTACGGAATTTTAGACAAATTCGTGAAATCCCGTGCCACGCGTGGGTGTAAACAACCCGAAGCTGGAAATGGTACTTACGCTCATCTCCACGTGCGGATGATCGATGAACACCATCTCCGACTCCTCTCCGTCTAGCAGGATCGACACCGTCTTCTCCCCGAACTCGTCATCTGTCGAATAAAATGACTCCGTTGCCGACACCTGACAAAGCTATCGAATAGTCCCGGGGTAAATTCAATTTCCCGCGAATTTTCATTACGCGATCTTCAATTTGACGCAGTTGCACGAAGAAGCTCGCGGAAAACAGAACTCGTCGGTGAAGCACGAACCAACGCCAAAGCGAGGTCTTTTTATCCAGCTAGCAACGAGCCCTCCTCGGACAAAATTTTCCACTGAAAACCCCGCCGGAACTTCGTACCGCGAACCACTTGCAGCTACGTAGCGACAAAGGAAGCTGAATTCTCGCTCGACGGACCGAGATGCGGTAAAAGAAGACGTGGTAACGCTGTGCGTGCTGTATTTCCTAGAAATCTTAACGTTCCCTTGCAACAGCCACGAGGAATTAAATTCGAAATTACGAAAGGGACTCGCGCCACGGAATTGAATGACGTCCGCAGTACCTTTGACAGCCCCCTTTAAACCCCTTCACGGACCAAATTTCGGACTTTATTTCTAACTTTCTACATTCCGATTTATCCCCCTGAACGTGGAAAGTAACAGTGTCCAATAAATTTTAAGTGTTTCTCGAAACTGTTAATTAAGAGATTCTTATATAGTTTATTTTCCTGAACACGAATCCGTAATCTAAGTTGTTTTATCGTTCTAGGTTTTCGAAAATTACGAGTTTCTTTAAAAACGCGCGACTTTTTACTGTATCGAAGCATTATATAATTTCATTTTTTATGTGTATAATATGTGTATGTCTTTATGTACTTATTTATACTAAGCGCGGAATTATAAGAAATTTTTATAAATCACTTGTAATTTGCAACAGTTTCGTTATTTGATATTTAATACATTGATACGAATAAATTTTTAATATGAAGTTGTTAAAAAATAAAGTCTCATCTCACTTTAAAGATGAGGGTGAATTGTCTAACGGGTTTATTTTTCGGGAAATACTTCGTTTTAGCCAAAAATACAGAGGAAATAAAAATATTTATCCCATAGTTTATAAAAATGTATAAATTATCAAATTCATCGTTAATAACAAATTGCTCAAAGCATAAAAATACTTAATATAAACATCATGGAAAGCATCATGGAAATTTATATTCTAAAAGGATGAATAAAGTTTATAAATTATTAAACCTATCGCTAATAACAAAATAATATATAACAAATTGTTCACGACGTAAATGTATAATAAAAGAGAAGAAATTAATAAATTATTGGTTATTACTTGCACTTATATCGTACGTAAGTAAAAATGTACATATAATTTGCAAAAAAGTTTATAAATTATTAATTATATTGTTAACAACAAATTAATATTGTTATTAACAAATTGCTTGCAACGTATATTTATAATAAAAGTGAAAAAATTAATAAATTATTGGCTACTAAGGCGGAAAAATAATAGTTAATGGAATCGATAATGTTCGGAAATTTTCGATCGGGGTGGGGAGCTCGGCCGATCGTCGGCTATATAAAGGGCGACGCGACGCAGCATAACTCATTTGTTGGTTCGACTTCGGAAGTGTAACATCTAAATTTTCGCAGTGCGCGAGGGGTGAGGGTCCGAAGTGAGGTTGGGGCTGGCTACCCCAACCCACGCCTCACCCCATTAAACAATTTACTAATAATTTTTTTTATTTTCAGCTATTAATTATATTTTTCTTTCAGATTTTAATTATTTTTTAATTTTTCAGGTATTAATTATTTTTTTCTATTTCAGATGTTATTTTTCATTTATATTCATTTATATTTGGACATTCGAATATTTCGTATAATATTCGAATGTCTCGTCGTTGGGTTGTTCATGTCTAATCGTTGGATTGTTTATATCTCATTGTTAGGTTTCTTATCTCTCATCGTTGGATTCTTAATAATTTTTTATTTTTCAGGTTTAATTCATTATTTTTTCAGGTTTTAATATTTTTTTCTTTTCAGGGTTTAATTATTTTTTCCCTTTTCAAATCACATTTCTTCGTTTTTATTGATCTTTACTTGAAAATTCGAATATTTCATCTAATATATTCGAATGTTTCGTTGTTGGTTAGGTTATGTCTCATCGATGGTTTGCTTCTTCCATTTGGTTAACCTTCATGGTTTCTATTCGTTCGTTTTCTTTCCTCACACTAATCCGCTTCTTTTCAGGTTTATATTAACAATAATATGTTCTGTTTTAGCTTTTAGGTTTCTCAAGATTCTCAAGTTTCCTGAAGACTTCATTTGGGACACATCAATGGACAACGCAGGATGTTAGATGTAAGTAGACCTAAGTATTCATAAGATAGATACCTAGGCTAAGTTTCATGTGCGCGCTATCTGTGCAAAGGTAAGTTACCTAACTTGGAGCGAATTTCATATTTTTCCTCCCTTAACCCTCTCGTTACCAAACAGAACATAATTGTTCTCGCGATAAACGCGATTATTCTCAAGTACCGACTAGCCTACGCGACGTACTCCCCTGTACTCGGCAACTTCACGTCACATAAGTCATCCTCACGACTCGTCTCCGACACTCATTTCCAGCCACTGTCAATCTCGTCATGCATCGAGTTCCAGGGAGGCCCTCGGGTCTTTGTTTCTTCTGGACTCGATGCGGGGGTCCGGCACCCTGGTCGTACGCGACTGGGGCATGGGCCTGCAGCTGGACGGGCATAGTGTCTACGGTTAGACCACAGGGATGATTAAGTTCTACCCCGTGTGGCTGGGATGCGAAGTGTCTGTCTGGCTTGCAAGGCCCCGCCGGACCCTCGTATCGACTCTGGGGGTTTCACTGGTTCAGGGACTATCCTTGGTCCACGTGTAAGTCTTGACGAGAACGACAGTGACTGGACTTGGACTAGGTTCGATCGGGAGGGTGCCGAGGCATGAAGTTGTCTTGTACACGAGAGTACGTCTCATAGGCTAGTCGGTCTTCTGAATAATCGCGTACTCGTTCGGGCGCGTCGCGATTTGCATTTAGTTTTTCTTTGCTCGCGTTTTTCATATTTGATTCCCTAAATTTGTGGGAACATAGAAATATTAGAGTCTTAGAGTTGCGACAGTATAGTAATAAATTTTAGTATACCGTATCGTAGACCCTTTTGTAAGACACGAAATATAATAAAGTGTCAGTAGATTCGCTTTAACTTCTTTCGCTCCAAGTTAGTTTAGGTTACCTTTGATACAGACAGCGCCAGTAGGATGCGCCACTAGGGCGCATGTCCGGGTCTCGATACGTAGCCACCTCCTCGTGGTGAGACCTGGTAATTGGTATCGTTTTCCAAAGAACAATCTTTGGGAAACGATACCGAGCTAAGAGCTACGCACTAAGTTTAAAAGACATTTCTTATTTCTTGTAAATTTTCAATATTCCCTTTGAGCTTTGAAAATGAAGACTTGGAAATATCTATTAAAATAGTATGCAGATTAAGATGAATAAAGGTAAGTAAGGTAAGCAAGGTAAGAAAGGTAAGTAAAATAATTAAAAATTTCTTACAATGAGTAGACTATCCTATAGTATGTATATTTATGCAAACCCTGCCAATTTCCATCCTCTGGAATTCTTGGAAATGATGTCATTTCTTGGAAGTGGCACAATGGCTCCTGTCATATTATGTTCTCCTGATACAAAATCGCGAAATCGGCCAGAAACTTTTCTTCGAGGCGGTAAAAGTATTGTCCGAGAATTCTTGGAAATGACGTCAATTCTTGGAAGTGTCTCAACGAGGCACCTTCTTTCATGTTATATATTCCTAATACAAAATCGCAAAATCGGCCGAAAATTTCTCGCTGAAGCTGAGAAAATTGTGTCCACTGAATTCATGAAAATGACGTTATTCAAATACATAGAAATGTATAAATAGTACAAAATAAATAGTTATTATTAATAACAAATTAATATCGAGAATAATAAATTGTTCACAGCGTGAATTTATAACAAACGTAAAAAAATTAATGAAATATTAGTCATTACTTAAATCTATAAAGTACTAATGTTAAAATGTACCTACAATTTGCAAAAGGATCATAAATTATTACATTTATTGCTAATAAGAAATTGCTCATAACGTAAATTTATAATACAAGTGAAAAAATTACTAAACTATTGACTATTATTAGAACATATAACTTTTATGTGTTAAAGTGCCTATAATTTGCAATCTATAACTTAAACAAATTTGATAAATTGTTACACTTGTTGTTAATAACAAATTAATATTGCTAGTAACAAATTCTCTGTAACGTATATTAAAGATAAAGCTCAAAAATATTAATAAATTCTCGCTTATTACTTTACAAATATGATACTAATGTAAAAATGTGCCTATAATTTGGAAAAGATTTATTAATTAATACACTTATTGTTAATAACAAATTGTTCACAACGTAAATTTATAGTACAAGTGGAAAAATTACTAAATTATAGGCTATTACTAGTATATATAACGTATTTGTGCAAAATTTGCATAAAGCTGATAAATTTCTACACTTATTGTTAATAACAAATTAAAATCCATAATAACAAATATTTTGCAACGTATATTAACGATAAAAGTCAAAAAAGTTAATAAATCATTACGTTCTACTTAAACAAACAACATATTCGTGTTAAAATGTATCCATAACTTACAAAAAGTTAATAAATCATTAAATTTATTGCTAATGACAAATTAAAACCATTGATAACAAATAGTTTGCAACGTATATTAACGATAAAAGTCAAAAAAGTTAATAAATTATTAGTTATTGCGGCGAAAAAGTAACTTTTAAAGGAATCGGTAAAGTTCGGAAATTTTCGCCGATCTTCGGCCGGACGCCGCTATATAAGGGGCCCGCGTGAAGGCTCAAGCCAGTTGTCGTTTCAACTTCGGGAGGGCCGCGTTAATATTCTTTCTGTTTGTTTCAGGATTTAATTATCTTTCAGATTCTATTTCTTTTATTCTAGATTTCATTGTTTGTGCATTCGAGTATTTTGTACAATATGCGAATGCTTCGTCGTTGGTTTATTTATATATCA